GGCTGTCACACTTGCATCTTGCAGTATTTAACACACACACACGCTATAGAAAAAATGGTGGTAATTTCAACCAAGCCAAGCCTTGCTAAATGGGGTAGCTTAGGGCTTTAAGTTGGCTAAAGCCTAGATATATCTATGATATCAAGCATACCAATAAAAAAGGATGAGATAAGAACCAAAACAAAAAATCACTTTGGTCCTGCACAGGACAATTTCTTTTAGTAAATAAGCTAAAATTTGAAAATATGCAACACATTGACAGCACAATCTTAATGTGTGGGAAGGTTAACTGTAGGAGCAACCACTAGCTAACTGCTTGAGTAGTAATATCAGAGGGATACATCTAGTTACATATAGGTGCTATCACAAATCAGCTAACTCAGCATCTCAAAGAAACTGGCTAGTCTTAGGACAGACAAGACAGCAAATAATTCTCATAATGTAGAATAGAATGTTGAAGCTCTTAGACCAGGGGTAGGCAACCTTGGCTCTTTTATGACTCATGGACTTCAACTCCCAGAATTCTTGAGCCAGCTGGCTCAGGAATTCTGGGAGTTGAAGTCCACGAATCATAAAAGAGCCAAAGTTGCCTACCCCTGGCTTAGACCATTATGATTGTTTACAGAAATACCTGAGCTCACTTGCATTTTTATTCTTACAGACTTCACAGAGCAAAGGCAGACAAGTCACTCATACGGGGTGTTTGATTTGTCAAGGCCTGAATAATCCTCACAGCTTTCCTAAGCGTAGTGATGTATCTGCAACATAGCAATGCTATCTTTTGAACCTATTTTTCAAAAATCTGTATTACAGAATTTGTTTTTTCAATCAAAAAGGAACATTCAACATATACTCTAGATCAGGGGTGTCAAACTGCTGGCCCGCGGGCTGGTTTCATCATACCGAAGCCACGCCCACCCCCATTGCCGGCAATGCAAAAAAGAGTCGGCGAGTTTGACACCTGTGTTCTAGATAAAAACATCACTATTATTTCAATTTCCTACTTTGTTTTCTGCCTGCTGCCCTTTTCTCTGGTATTTAAGTGGGAACCAAATAGTACTGCCTTTATCACTTACAATTCTGGGAGTTGAAGTCCACAAATCTTAAAGTTGCCACGCCCACCCCCATTGCCGGCAATGCAAAAAAGAGTCGGCGAGTTTGACACCTGTGTTCTAGATAAAAACATCACTATTATTTCAATTTCCTACTTTGTTTTCTGCCTGCTGCCCTTTTCTCTGGTATTTAAGTGGGAACCAAATAGTACTGCCTTTATCACTTACAATTCTGGGAGTTGAAGTCCACAAATCTTAAAGTTGCCAAGGTTGGACACCCTTGACATAGATGGAATATGACCTGCACAAGTGAAATATTGTAGCAAAAGGTAAGCCAGATTCTACAACATAATGATGACACAGGATGACTTGATGGCTTTTGATTAGGGTCTCACTTACTCCACTTCATTCTCTCTATATACTAGTGTTTTCTTTACTTACTACAATAGCTAACTAAAACATCAATTCTTGGGGCATTTTAAAACAGCTTCCAAACATGAAATCAAAAAGCAGCCAGATAGTACAACAAAATCTTTTATTTCTTCCTATCTCTTCGTTGTCTACCAATTCTATACCATACTATTCTCCCTCTCATCCAGATGTTGCTGTTTTGTCTTTGTTCTTTCTCAAGAACAAAGGAACTGTTGCTTGAAGGAATAAAGATCCTGAAGATGGAGCTTGATACCACTCAAGTAGAGATAATCGTGGAACATCGTATATTATTCTTTAAAACATGGGGAAAAAAACTTAGCATTTACGTGTTCTTCCAACTGCATTTCCTACTAGAACAGTGGTTCTCAACCTGTGGATCGGGACCCCATTTGGGGTCGAACGACCATTTCACAGGGGTCGCCAAACATGGCTGTCCGCCATTTTTCCTCCCTTTTCTTTGGCCAAGCCCCTGGCACCCGGTGATGTATAAGTGGTTGGGGGTCACCACAACATGGGGAACTGTATTATGGGGTCGTGGCATTAGAAAGGTTGAGAACCACTGTACTATAAAGTCACAAATGCATTGCAGAGACTGACATCTAATGCTACTGCAGCCTTTCTGCTTAGGGATCTGCTTATGACCTATCAGTTCAGGAACAGAATGGTTGTAGGAATACTGTAGATGAAAATCTTGGGAAGACTTGTTCACGCTCTGTTCCACTTTAACATCAGTTAGCAGCTGTGGGGATATGGCTATTCCAAATGAATAAGAAAATAACTAGTAATTCCTGGATCAGGAAGCATGCTTGTAGCTGTTGTCTTAAAACTCAACCTACCCTTTCAATATCTCAGGATGGTAGGCAACAGCCCAGCCCAGCTGATATCCTTATGGATATGCACAGGAGAATGTTAATTGCCTCAAGGACGTATTTGTATTTATCCTGGTCATCTGCAACTTGACACGTTATCACCATTCAATGATCCTTTTCAATATTTTGTCACTAATCACCTAAAGGAGCTGGAAGTAAGTCATTGCCATGTCTTCTTTCAGATTTAAAGGTTCCAGATTATTTTTGCTTTGTGGAAGAATGATAGGAGACAGCTGCTAGAGGGATGGAGGGAGAGATGGGCATATTTCTGTCTTATTCCAATTTCTTCTAAAATTCAGAATAAACCTGAAAACTGGCTACCAATTCTTAAAATAGTACAATATCTAAAGAACCAAGGGCATATTCACAGCCCGCTGTTAATAGCTTGGGGTAACTTTAAACTGCCATGTCTGTTTCATTTGAAGAAACAAATCCAAGGAGAATTTTCAAAGCAGGAACTAGGAAAGGGCAAATTGTGTTATCATAAATCAATACTGAGTTCTTAGAATACAAGCATACTGACAAATTTCTGCAGAAACTCGACAGATATTAAAACATGAATCTTGCTGGGCTGGACCCAAGATCTATCCCATTTATAAGAACAGATTCCCAGGTGGTCTCCCATCTGACAGACAGCCACCACCGAAATTGAATGAATGGGAGAGATATAATCTATGAAAGAAATCCACATGGCCCTCAGTTTATATCTCCACAACGCTGAGCTAGCAAAGTGAATGGAATAATACGGTGAAGGGAGCACTACAAACAGAATTCAGGCTTAAGCCACAGCTATTGGCAACAGTGTAGATTCCTCTTTTGCTAAGGCTCCTTCCTGGGCTGCCTGCCATGAAAAAGATCAAGCCACAAATAATTAGCAATATTTCCTTGCTAACCACAATCTGCACTTCTTATTCTATATGAATCATCCTGATTTCCAAATGACTTGAGATTTTATTTCTCAATCACTATCTCCAAGTTGAGAAATAACTACAAAAAAGAAATTTCAGACATCAGTGGAGGCTCAGCACTTTTATTTTTATCTTCTCTTAAATGGATTTAAATTGCTAGGCACTGCAGTCTTAGCAAGTAAACATACCACATTCAGAGTATTCAGTATATACACCAGCCCACAGTCTGGTATCCACCTGTGGTCTACACAGGTCAGAATTGTCAAAGAAGATATGGAGGCCTTGTTGCTTCAGATTCAGGGACCATCAAATCTGTGCACATCCTTTCTGAGAAGAAATACTATCAATGACTAAAAATAAATAAAACTAAACTAAAAATGAATAAAATGAAGAATCCAAAGACTTCATCCAATCCCTGGAGATATAATATAGAACAGGGGTCCTCAACTCCTGGTCCAGGGCCCTGTGTCAGGCCACAGAAGTTGGAACCAGGCCACAGAAGTTGCATTTGTGAAAGCGGTAGATGCACAAAACTATCCCCCCTCCCCCTCCCGACGCCAATGAGGCCCTAATCAATGCCTCCCCCTCCCGACTGCTTGGTAATTTTGTCAGCTTTTTGTTATACTGGGCCACTGTGTGATCTTCTCACACATACATTTTGGAAGCTCTCATTCAGAATATATTAACTCTGAAAATCGGTTTATATTTCTTTTCAATTCTTCTTTACGTTCATCTCTTATTTGTACCCTTTAACAAAATAATAATCTAAAAATGTGTCCTTTTATATCCCAGTCCACATTATATACTTTACTCAGTGAATGAGACTAGGAGCACAAATAAATTTACTCAGACATGACTGAGAGGTTGAACTGGTAGTTATTTTCATCATGGTAGACCTGTGAAGATCTAGAATTCCCTAATGCCAGCTCTAGGTTAAAAATTATGGATGTCCACTCTGCTACAGTTATTTCCTTGGTTCTCTTAATCCTCAGCTTAAATATGGCATTATAGTTTAATCAGGCATGAGTTTTAGATTAAAAAAATAAAGGCCAGAACATTCTGATGACATAAAAAGATTAAGAATTCTTTATGATTAAGAATATTGATCCCCTGTTGACTGTTTTCCAATCTTTGCAGAGGAGATTTCTTCATTATAAAACATAAATATGCTAATAGCTTGAGGTCTATGAACATATATTTCCCAAATGTTTCCCCTTTTGCCTCTCTGATTCATTTCAGTTGTGATAAAATAAACATTATGTTTTTAGCTTCGTGTAAAGCTCTATTAAACGTTTTGCCAACCAGGGAGATACAAGCCTATGATTTTTGGTCAGGTGGTCCAGGAGCCACAGGATTCTATGGTGCTCCCTGTCCCTAGGTGGAGATTAACAGAGAGTGAGGTGGCTAAGAGATCCTTTTCCTGATCTGTCCAGCAATAGAAAGAGTGAGAAGAAGGATTTCTGTAGGAAGATCAGGAGCAGGTAAAGGAGGCTGTAAGGTTACTATATCCAAAATATTTTTCTTCCACAGCCATATCCTAGAATCAGAAAATCTACAACAACGGGCATAAACCAACAACTATTACATAAAAAAAAACCAGAATTTTTTAAAAAATCAGCCGTATTACCTCTTTCTTTAAAGTCACCTCGCCCACTGTACCTTAAGCATCAGATATTTCTCCGTAAGAACAAACTGTAATTCTATTTGGTAGTATTGAAACAGAATAAACTTCTACTTACGATGCAAGTTGAGAGAGATGTTGATAGTCCATTCCTCAACGAACCCTTTGAGATTAGGGATTTTGGCACATTTGAGAACGGTCTGGGGGGAGCTGTCGCCAACATGGACCCAGCAGACCTTGTCTTCTATGTAGTTGAAATCCATAGCAGTAGTTTGTTTGGTGCTGGTGGGGCTGATGTTAGAGACAGGTCCGCCATTCAGGTAGGTAGCCATGATGTTCTGGGAATTGGCAATGAGCAGGATGGGTGGTCGTTCTACTGGTTCTGAGAAGAAAAGAAAATCCAATGCAGAAGCAAGGTCAAAGGGAAGGTCACATCTTTCTTCAAAGAGATACAGAGGACAAACTGCCCAAATTACTTGCCAAGGAAACCTCAGAGTAACAAACACCAACAATGTGTATACAGGATGAGTTCTTTTCAGTAACATTAAGACGAGCAACAAAATCTATGCGGAGGCCTTTTAAGCAAGGGAGATAAGGGGGAAAAAAATCCGCTGTGCTTCCTATCACAAATTAAAGGGAATATACAAAAGAAGGCATACTTGCGCTTCTTATAAAAAAAACAGCAAATCACTTCAAAATGGGGACCCATTTCTAGCAAGCCAACTTCATTCAAGGGAGTAAAATTCAAGATCTAAGGACAGTGGTTCTCAACCTGTGGGTCGGCACCCCATTTGGGGTCGAACGACCATTTCACGGAGGTCGCCAAACAACGCAGTCCGCCATTTTTTTCTCCCTTTTCCTTAGCTGTGCTACTCCCTTTTATTCTATTGGCTTTTGAAAGCCAATAGGAATTGTCCAGGCTGTCTCTGCCCTGCTGAGCCCGCCAAAAGTCCCATTCTGCAAACAGTGCTGCACCAGTTGAGTAGTCCTCGACTTACGACCGGTTGAGTAGTCCTCGACTTACGACCGGTTGGGGGTCGCGGCATTAAAAAGGTTGAGAACCACTGTCTTTGGAGTACAGAGCATTTTATGTTGTTAACATTTTCAGAGTACCTGAAGAATAAAAAAAAAATCGTGCAGTAAATTTTTCCGACAGAAAACCAATAGAAAATAGCTGCTGCATTTTCACCAGGCACACATATTTGTGAAAAACTCAGAGTGCTATCAAATGGTGCTTTGGCCGCTTAAAAATAGAAAACACTTTGTAAAGTGGCAGCCATGGCCTACAAGATATTCAACCAGGAATAAAAAGAAATGATGTACCGTTCTTGGCTTTGCAAGATTTGTGATCAGGCTGGAGCAGATACCCTTCTACGCAACTGCATGTGTAGGAACCATCATGGTTAGTGCAGGTTTGGCTACAGGTACCGTAAATAGAACACTCATCAAAATCTGTTGGAAAGAGGGGAGAAAGGACAATTAAAAGAAATACTTATTTTAGTTACTGTATTTCCTACAATTTTCACGCCACCTAATCCAACAATATTCAAAGCAGCTTATAAAAAATAAAAATAAAAATGCTGAATAATAGTACCAGTAGTAGTAGTAGGCTTTGCCTGTTAGATTTATATCCCACCTTTTCTGCAGAACATCAAGATGGCAAACACAGCACACCTTGCTCCAATCCCCCTATAGGAATAGCCACGTCATCGATTGTATATGGGATTGCATTCCCCTGACTGAGCTGGTGTGCAGTTTGGGGCTCCCCCTGGACTCACAGTTCCTGCTCAAGGAGCAGTTGGCAGCTTTTCGTCTTGTGCACCAGCTGCGACCTTTCTTGGACTGGGAGGTCTTGCTCATGGTTATTCACCTCCTAGTTTGGATTACTGCAATGTCCTTTACATGGGCTGCCTTTGAAGACCCCTTGAAAGTTACAACTAGTCCAGAATACAGTGGCATGGGTTATATTGGGTGTTCATACATTCAACCATGTTATACCTCCATACAATGTAGAAGCCATGGTGGCACAATGGTTAGAATGCAGTATTGCAGACTGACTATGCCCACAGCTAGGAGTTCGATCTTGACTGGCTCAAGGTTGACTCAACCTTCCATCCTTCTAAAGTCACTAAAATGAGGACAGGTAAAATGGGGGCAATATGCTGACATTGTAATCAGCCCAGAAATTACTGTAAAGCACTATGAAGTGGTATATAAGTCTAAGTGCTAGTGCTATTGCTGCATTTTATTGTGTGAGGTGCACTGGTTTCCCTTTCCCTTTTGTGTGCAATTTAAGGTGCTTGTTATCACCTTTAAAGGTCATTATTTTTTTCTTGCATCTTGTCATTTTTAAATCCACTTTCAGATCAGTTTTATTCTTGTCAGATAAAACTTGTTCTTCTTCCCTAACGTTTTAAAACATAGTCTGTGTTTAAAAGGTAGATACTCTTAAAATTAATTCTTGGGTTCAATGTTCACAAATATCCTTCAATGTGTCCAATATTAAAATATTTTCTTCATTCTGTATTTTGCAAGACGGGTTTGAGTGATCTTCTCCTTTAGCTGTAATCTTTAATTCCTTCTAGTTCCTTTTAGTTCCCTCTAGTGCAGTGTTTCTCAACCTTGACAATTTTAAGGCATGTGGACTTCAACTCCCAGAATTCCACAGCCAGCAATGCTGGCTGTGGAATTCTGGGAGTTGAAGTCCACATGCCTTAAAATTGTCAAGGTTGAGAAACACTGCTAGTGTCCTATTTTTAAAGTCTTATTTTATTATGTCTTTTTTAAAGAATTCAAAACAAAAGCTTTTCCCATGAAAATGATTATTTATAATTAATTCCAAAATCTTATTTTAACTGTATCTGTCCTCTTAGTACATTTATAACTTTCTAAAATCAAAATTTTGATCACCCTTTTGCTGTTTATTAAAAAAAATTAAGGCTTTAAACTTAGTTAAAATTTATTTGGCTATGAATGGAAGGAAATTCACCGGGTGCCGTAAAACAGGTCACCAACATTTGCCAGTTGGCAGACCAGAGGAAAAGGGAGGGGGAAGCATTTTACATGTGTGCATGCACACGGGGCCATGAGCACGCACGTGCTGCAAATGGGACGGGGCTAACACCTGCATAATACTCACTAGCCCTGCACCATTCTTGCATGGCGCAGCACCTTGTTTTGTGCCTCACGGCACAGCAGCAGCCATTTTTGCGCCTTGCAGTACAGCAGCGACCTGGTTTTGCACCCCATGGTGCAGTGGCACCCCGTTTTCAAACCATGTAGCACGGCGGCAGCCCATTTTCGCACACCGAGGCACAGCAGTGGCCCATTTTTACGCCCCGTGGCACAGCATCCTGTTTTTGCGCCCCGTGGCCGTGGTGCTAGCACAAGTGAAGAGGTGTGCATGCACACATGTGCACGCTGGCCAGCCTGTCCCGTGGCCCGGACGCCAGCACGACACAGCCCACTACCGGGCCGTGGCCCACAGGTTGGGGGCCCCTGCTGTAAAACCTGTCAATCCAAAGATTCCTAACAGTTGAAAACCAGTTAACAAGCCATTTCCCAAAGTGATTAGAAAAGGAATATGTGAACCCAATGCCTTTTCAAACCACGTCGACCATGATTTGAGAGCTCTAAACCCACTAGAGACTGCTAATTCACAATCACTTCTCAAGAAGCAACTGTATGGAGCACTTATGGGCAATTGGAAGTTTTCTCCTTGTCCAGAAAGGAATTATTGAAGAGGCAGTATATTTGCTGGCTCTTCCTCCTGCCATGGTCAACGGCTTTGATTTTTGTGCAACATCTTCATTCCACTAGTTCTTCCACTGAAGTCAATTGCCTCTCTCACATTTGTCAAGATGGATTGTGATGGAGAAAATCTCTGAATAAGCATCTTAAAAATTGCAACAACCAATTTATCACTGTTCTTACCCATGAAGGAAGGAGGGAGAATTTATGAATGAGGTCTAAGGAAGCCCAGAAAATGTAGCCTATCTGCTATTTTTCACTTACCTTTGCAACTTTTCCCATCTTCAGCTACTTGGGAGGAACTGTCACAATAGCATACTGGTCCATTCAGAGTTGGGGCACAATGGTGTTGGCAGCCCATACTTGAACAATTTGCCAGAAGCTCTAGAAAGGAGGAGGAGAAGTAGTAGTATCAGTTAGAGGTATAGAAGGAAATTAAAGTTTTCAGCAAACTTAACTCCTTATTTGGTACTACTATACATCCATTCCTCTTTTGCATTAATATTCACAACTGGCAAGAAAGTTCTACAAGAAACTCCAAAGTTTACCCTCAGCTACTGTAAAACTTCTTCAGGTTATCTTAAAGTCCTGCTAATTGTGACACAAAAATGTCTTCACTATTTTTAGAGAATATATGTGCCAAGTTCCTATGATTCGTGGAGGTTGCTGCTGCTATGCCCTCTCCCCTCTGGTTGCTGGTCACTGTCCAGCACGGCCATTGGCCTGGGCTAGAGGAGAAACAGGATACCTGATGTGTCCATATAATGCCTGACCTACTCCTTGCTCATGCATTCTTCAGGCATTACATGGGCTCCTTATAAACCTTGATACAGCTGGTCTTCTGGAGGGACAATAGATTCATTTAATGTTCTTTTTTAAAAAAAACACTAATAAACCTGTGAGCTTTTTTTAAAAAAAATGTTGGTTAACTTAAACTGGAAAAGAGTGCCTGTTCTGTCTCATCTAAGTGGATTAAAGATTTACTATTGCTTCTCCTAACTAGGGTTTTTTATGTCCATGCTTTCTCTTGTTTTAATTTTTGGAAGTGGAAGTATGGTCGTTCTGTCTCCTCTTATACCATTTTGCACAAGCCATGGGATAGTTCCAGGTGCAGCTGACTGCAAACATTTGTCAGCATTGCCATCCAGCAAACTTACCAGCTTGAATATTTGGAAACTGAGTGAAATTAACAAGAGTTACATTAAGAAAGAGTCTCTTTCCTAATCAGATGATTGAAAGGCCAGTAAACCTCTATCCAAAGACAGTCCAGCTAACAGGATTGTGGGGTGTAAGACAACCAGAATGAAACAGGAGGAAGCCTCAAAGCATCTGTCTGGAATCCTTCTGCAGTCATCTTTTACCCCACTGGCTTGTCAGCTGGACTCTTCTGGATATAGGTCTACCAGTTTTCCAGAAAACCAACTAGCTAGCAAAGCCAAAGAAATTCCAATGCTTGAATTTTCTCTAGTAAAAAAAAAGGGCAACTTTCAAGTCTTATTACTAGGGCAAATTAGAATTCAGCCATCAGGATACCACAAATTATGCCAGCACATTTTTCTGAGGACTCAAGAACGAGAGGAATGCACAGTAATACCACTATATGGAAGAACCCTTCTGTGACTTGTTTTGCATGTATATTGCACAATGCAATATTCAGGAAAAGCTTTGCTTCTACGCAGCACGTTCACTAAAAGTAATTTAGACTAAATTGCCATGTCAGTTTGTGTTCATAAATTTCAGCTATACCATTTCAATCATTCTTATTCAAAAATAATGCAACTATGCTCTCTATTGGCTATGGAGTCTTTATGTAAATTCTTGTACTACAGATTTATCTGCATTTCTTACATTTATACTTTTTAAAACAGATTTTTAATTAAGAAAGTCACCAGGATATCAACTCAAGCAGGAGTCCACGAGTTCTATAGATCCAAACAACTTTGGCTCAATCTTTAAGCAGCCCATCTCTGGCTGATAAAGATTAATCAATCAGGTAGTAAAATAATCAATCCAACACTTGTTTTCTATACCAATTTTATCAGATTACCCATATTTTCCAATTTGACCCTCTTCTATTAGAATATGTATGAAAATTCGTTTATTTAGATATTCCTTTACTCATTCATTTTGACAGTCAACTCTGAGGCATTCCAGTCACAATCCTGAAATTAACATTGTATTACCGGTATGCTTCATCCTTGTAGTATCAGCCATGGGATGATTACACACATTCTCTTTTAGAATTTCTCAGGGAAATTTCCTACTTCTTGGGGTACCCAACACTATTTATTTTAAGAGTTGGATCAAGATAGGGCTTGAAAGATTATGGGGGTTTTGAAATATCCCCAGTAATGTGTCTCCTTGAGCAATGCAGTGATTTCATGACCTCCCAACAATGGATTCACTTCTAGAACACTGAAGTCAAAAAGTCTTGAATATCAGCCAAAGGGACATTTGAAGGAGGCAGTGGCTACAGCAAAGTTGCCCTTGATAGGTCTGGATTTCATGGTTAATTGTTACTAATGACTGCAATGTGTTCCCCTGAGACAAAGAGGAGAGACAAAGTGGGACCAATAATGAACTCTCCAAACAGGTCTTTCCTTTCTATTATCCAAGAATCCATAACAATTCCAGATTCCACCAAAGACAATTAAGGAGCATTCACACAGAATGTAGAGATTTCTCCAAAGTATGTAAGTGTTATTCCTTCTTCCAGAATATAATAGCACAATGTCAAAAAGATGCAAATAAAATGCTGAGGAAAATGAGAAGTTGTATGTCACTTTTTTTTCCAGATTGAAAGTCCAGTTCTATTCTCTGACATCTCTTATATATTCTCAAACAACATGGGGCTGAATCTGGGCTCAGCAATCTTTCAATTATTAGGGCTATTTCATGCTTAAAAGATGTCCAATGACTCTTCAGAAAGGCCATCTTTTTTTTCATTCATTTTTGGAAGAGGGGAGTTTCTTACTGATGGGGATGGCACCAGTAGGACACCAATCACTTTAATCCCATCTTTAATTACTGCCATATGTTCTGAAATGCTGCCACTGAAATTTGATGGCAAAAGGATTGAACCTTAGTGACACAATTTCAGATTGCCTTTGTAAGGATAGAGCGGTTGAATAATTTGACTCCCCAAGGGCTTCTACTGCTATTTCCACTGATGTTTCAAGGCAAGTTAGGGTAAAGGTTCCGATCTGTTTAGAATTTATAACTAAATTTAAGCAAACCAATCATGGGGTATTTAAGGTCTGGGAATCAAATGGAGCCCAAAGATTGCCCATCCTAAATTAAGTAAGTATGACCTAATTTGATATAAATTGTCAATCCTAAGATTCTGCAGTGCACCAAAAAAGAACTGGATATGCAATTATTCAGAAGTTCTGGTTTGTTTTTTGGTGAACCCACTAAAAGCAACATGCTGCCCATGAACATGCATTTTAAAAAACAATGATCTGCTTGATAGCCCTACCTATAAAATTCTCCTGCCACCTTCTAAATCTGCAATTGAGCCTGAACCCTGAATAGGAATGATGCCCGGGCATTTTTATCAACTTTTACTTGAATGCTATTATTTATTAGATTAGAAAAGACAAAGCTCCTGGTCATATGGAGGTTTTTATTTATGTTCAAGGGAATACAAGTCGAGATACCTTGCATATCTTTCTGTCCTAAATCAAAAAAAAGAAAAGGTTTAGCAGTAGCCTAATCCCTTGCATGAGTTTTACTCTATTCAAATTTACAGTGCCTAAGGTATAATGAGTTCACTTCTACTGTACTGACAATATCTGTCTGTCTTCACTTCAAAGGGACCTTCACGGAACCTTCTATTGTTAAGTAAGAAGATACAACAGCATCAAACCAATTACTTAAATGGCCAGCAAGTCTCCTTACTCCTTGGGCAAGATTATCCATGTGTGAAATTCCCAAAACAGAAAAAAGTATATACTTGTCAGGCAAAGGGCAAGCTTTAAGTCCTATTTATGTGAGCTTTACTGGAGCCGATACTAAGAAAAGACCAATGTGTCCTCCTCTGAATAAGTCTTGGTTTTATTACTGAATTCCAAGTCTCTTAGTTTAGCAGGACTTACTTTTTCTTCCTTGGACTTTTATATTATATCTCCAAAATCCACTACATGAGCTGTGTCTTCACAGACAAAGATGTCTCCAAACAGAAGAACATGTTAATACACACTATTTCAGCCACAGGCTATTAAATTTGCAAGATCTTTAAGTCCAATCAATTGCCTATAATCACAGCTTTCAAAAGATTCTGAAAGCCAACACAAGTGTACTTAACTTCCCAGTCAATCTCAGTACTATCTGAATACTTGGCTAAATGGCTTTTTAATTATCTGGGAAATACCTACCTCATAGTTCCCAGCTACACCAACCATGCTTGTACATAAAGACACCATTCAAATCAGAACATAAAGGAGGAGGAAATGTACCAAACACCAATCGTTCAAATTCAGCAATAAGATAAGCTTGCCTAACTCCAATTATAAATAGAAGCAGACTGGACTGTGGCATTTGTGGTTAACAAATAACAGATGTGCAAATAACTGGATCCAAAGCTTTTCTGTGGCTATCCTGGCTAGAAATTCTTAAGTGTAGCCTAACATATCCAGAGGGCATGAAATTGGAAAAAAGCTACTCAGTTGCTTGAAGATAATTAAGTCCCTCCCCACTGGCATGCCTGCAACTGATGAAAGGTTTGCTCTCCTAATGTGTGTCATCAATGGTCAGTCTGTCAGATCATTTACAATATCTATCGGCATGTTTTGTTTCCTCTTTTCTCCTCTATGCCTCTTGCAGTGAGTCATTTAGATGCTGTTCACACTTAGACTTATATACTGCTTCATAGTGCTTTACAGCCCTCTCTAAGCGGTTTATAATGTCAGCCTATTGCCCCCAACAATTTGGGTCCTCATTTTACTGACCTCGGAAGGATGGAAGGCTGAATCAACCTTGACTGGTCAGGATCGAATTTCTGGCTTTGAGCAAAGTTTGCCTGCTTTCTAACCACTGTGTAACCATGGCTCTTATATACGCAGCACTTAAGATTTTAAGAATGAAAGCACCCCCACATTATCATCATATGAATGGTCCTTATATCATAATCATCATCATCTGAAATGCCCTTAAATAAAACATACAAATAAACAGAAGTCTCCAAGGATGAAAACTTGCAGATTTCCCAAGTGTGGTCAATTTGACCACACAATAGTTGAAGCTGCTTGTACAGCGAGGAAGTGTCAAGTGATACATGTTACTCTTAATTTCATTTTCAAACTTCCATTCCTTGTCTGAGACCTTTTTTAATATTATATACATATACATGTGTGTATGTGTATGTGTATGTATGTATGTATGTA